GAAGCCACCGACCAGACACTGTGCAACCCTGCCCCTGCCAGCCCCTGCTCCTGCTGGCCTCTGCTCCCAGACACCCTGGTTGCCCATCCTTAGAACCAGACACTTTGAACTGCCAGTGCCACAGGGGACCCAGGAGCTTCTCTCCTTGGATTCAAGCAAGAGGATGGCTTGGATCTGTTTCCTGTTTCTGGCTTCGCTGTGGAGATGGACTGTGGAGGGTGGATCTCCCCTCCTGACACCGGGGTGACTTATCAATTTTGTTTTAGTTTTAAGTGGGTGAATCTGTGCCACGGGCCCGTGCCTCCCCCATGGTCGGCGATAAATCGCGGCTGAGTGCTAACAGCGTACACATTGACTCCCATTAATGCTTCCTGTGTCGGGATGCTGGGCTCGAGCCAGTTCGGCTGCATGAGGAGCTTTCCCGCCGGAGGAGTGAGGCCTCTGGGCTGCCTTCCAGTCCTAACTGGCAGCTAATGCTTTAACACATTCACAAAACCCACGCTAGGGGTGCAGGCGCAGCTGGGGTTTGCCTGGGTTGGAGATCACGGTGGGGCCTGAAGGCCCTGGGTGATGAGTCCGGTCTCGGGTAGGACATGCAAAGTAGAGTGAGGTGTTTGCACGGCAGGGCTCCCGAGGACATGACTGTCACAGGCCTGAACTGACAGTTTCTAGTTCACGTGCCTAGTTTAATCTTTTTTTCCAGCTTTGCGAGGTGGGAGCCAGGCTACATCTCTGAGACCCTCCCTGCTGGGAGTTGCTCTGAATGCCACCGGCTCCTCCTCACCAGGGTTCCTGGGACGTCGAGTTCCCACACCTGGCAAGGCTTCCCGCCCTGACTCAGGTCTTGAGATGACTAAAGGTGACAGGGATCGGCTCTGGTGCCTCCAGAGCCGAGCGGAACTCCCTGGAGCATTTCGTAGACAGCTAGTGGTTAAATTCCTTTTCAACGAGTCTTCTCGCCTTTGTGTCTAACCCTCCGTGGGCTGAAGGCTCATGGATGAGGCAGCAGAAACCACATCCTCCTGCATCACCACCCACCAGCACAGTCTCCAACAACAGGAGCAGCAACTCTGCCACCGACCGGTTCCTTTCGGGAGGAATGGCCCGAGTGCCCACGCGGGTTTCATGACACATGTGTGGCACCACAGGGGAACACAAACTTGGCCCTTCCCTCCCTTGATCAGAGTACCCCTTGTGTTCTAACCCACACCCCAAGGCACAGACGTGTGTGATACGTGCACGTGTGTGCACACATGCTTTGAAAAGCCCTTTCCCTGCATGCTAAGGTCACACGTGTTCCATATCCAAGCACACTTTCAGAAGTTATTTCTGGAAAAATGTTGAATCTCATAACAGCAATAAAAGGGAAATACTGGCTCAGCCAACACAAACGTGTGTCTGGAACATGCTCCAGATACAGGAATGTGTGTGAGCTTGAAATACCAGCCCCAGAGTGGAGCTCTGGCTATAGCTGGGCTCTGTGGAAAAGGGTGAAGGGTCTCTTTCCAGAAGGCCCCCAATTCAGTGGACCAGCCAGTGACCCTGTCAGTGACCTTAACTACTGGCCCCAGGTTCCAGAGGCTTCCCCTGAAGGATATGCTGATATGATTGATGGTAAAGTCTGGGGAGTTGGCATCCAGAAAGGACCTGGGCACAGGATGGGTGTACACCAATCGCCCTGTGGTCTTTGGTTCTGCAAAGTGTACCCTGGTGTCCTTGGGTAGCCTATCCTGGTGATCCGTACCATGATGGCTTCCTCTCTAGGTCCCTCCCTGAGTTTATAGTCTGGTAGAGAGTGGGCACAGTAACAAGCTCCCCACATGTGGCAGCTACCTGCTCAGAACTCCAGGTAGACAAGGCCACCTCTGCCATGAAACCAGCCCCCCAGAAGGCTACACTGCCCTGCTTTAGGGCTCGGGGCATTTCATTATGGAACCACTGAGCTAGGCCCTAAAACTCTTCAGTGTCCACATGCAGCTCCTGGTGCCTTTCCCATAAGTGACCCTTGGCCATTGCATGCTCTCTCCCCCTCTCCCATCTCTTTCCCCTCCACTTCTCCCCTCTACCATGTCTCTCTCCCTAAGGTAGCAGAGTTTTCTCAGGTCTACAGTTCTGTGGCTGCAGAGGTTTCCCCAGGAGCCAGGATCACATCCTGGAGTGCTGGGAATGGGACAGTGGCCACCACAGGGAGGCAGTCGCCACTCCGCTCAGGGAAGGAGTGACATTGCACCTAGGGATCCCTGTCTCGTGGGCTGATGAGATGGCTCAGCCAGTAGAGGGCTTGTCACGAAAGCCTGGTGATGTGAGTTTGTTTCCCAGAACCCACGTAAAGGAAGAAGGAGAGAAACGGCCCTACAGGGCTGGGCTCTGAATCCAACACACGTGCTGTGGCACACGCTTCCCGTTATCGCAGGCACGTGTGCAAACACATGGTGATCAAAACAAGAACTCTTTTCTTTCTGCCTCTAGTTCCCCTGTCCCTTTCCAAAGCAAGAGAGGCGAGAAGGTGACTGGAGACCCCAAGCACCCTCCCTGGGTGCGGCAGCCGAGCGCACCTCACGCAGTAACAGAAACACTGGGTGATTGTTGCTGCAGGAGGCTCTGGTTTGCATTAGCAGGAAGATGGCCTAGCTCAGAGCAGGACTCAGCCCCCCGACCCAGGGGGTTAACCCCTTCAGCACCTCACCATAACCACACACAGCTGGCATTCAGCTGAGGACCGCCTGCCCTCTGCCGACCCACACTGTGCTGCTTGCTCCCTGTCTCTCGTGTACAGCTACACATGAAGGCAACACACACAATGCCCGTGCTTATACACACAGTCACATATGCGCGCACACACAATGCCCGTGCTTATACACACAGTCACATATGCACGCACACACAATGCCCGTGCTTATACACACAGTCACATAGGCACGCAAACACATGCATGGGCATAGTCTCACATGTGTAAATGCACATACACACAGCCCACACAGGCACACAATATACATATTCATGTACACGTGCAGATTATTATATGCACACATATGCTCACACATGCACATGAGTGTGCTAGCACAGGTGGGTCTCCATAGGCAGAGGGGTGATGGGAGGCTGAACGCCAGAGGATCTGGGGAGCTGACATGCATACTGCCTCAGGCTTCCAGCCAAGGTCCCTGTCAGTATGCTTTGCACAAATTACCTGGGAACCACCAAGGGCCCTAAGGAGATCACTTTTGGGTCAACACCCATTTCACAGATGTGGAAACTGAGGCTCACAGAGCCCAGGATGCTGCCTGTGGTCTGGAACAGTCATAGACTACAGGACATACGTGTGACTAGAACCTGATATATGCTAACATTTGCTTCCCATGTGAAAAGAATGACTGAAGACTGACACACACAGGCGTGTGTATCTGTGCGCATCTACCGGACAACCTGGGACTCCAGGCCTGAGGACTCCTCTCTGCAGGCCAGATTTGCACTGGGTGGGCATGCCCTTGTGGGGGTCCAGTGAGGGGAAGTCACCCTAGGGCTCTTCTGGGGACTTATGAACTACGCCTAGTGTCTTGGGCCTCAGAGGTTTTCCCTGCTTAGCCCGACAGCGGCTGCTACAGCAAAGTGCATGTTACAAGCAGACTCCCTGTCCCCTATCCAGCACCGCCTTGACCTCTGCAGTCACAGGCACATGTCTATAGGGTTGAGCCTGGCATGGGAGCATGCTGGATCTGGAGGACACAGAAGCATAGTAACTCACAGTGGCGCTGACGGTCACGTGATTCATGCTGTCTGAGCGGTTTCACTCTTTCTACTCCTCACTCAGTCCCCCTTACGTCTCGACAGTATTTTACAGAGAAAGAAGCACAGAGAGGGGGTGCAAATTGCTCAAAGCCACAGAACACGTCCTGCCTTGGGGCTTGCAGCTGAGTAGCACCTCACCATCCTGGACCAGAATCAGGGCTCTCTCCACCACCTTGTTTTAGGCAAGCCTTGGGAGGCTGTACCTGCTAGGGGTGACATACCCAGGGTTGCTCCTCAAGGGGAGTCAGAGGGGATGTCGGAACAGACCACGGAATGGGATGGAGAGGGAAGGCCACAGCCCAGTGTCCCCTCTACTCATGGCATTTCTCTCTATCCATGGGTGGAAACCTGGGTCGGGTCAAGTGGAGAGTCAGAATCAACAGTCGAAAGCTGGGTGGTCCAGGGATGTCTGGTATTTCCCAGAGGAGTAAGCCTATAGATAAGGCAAGGGTTTACCCAAGATTGGCATATGAAGCCCCTACAGGCAGGCTGCCCAGCGCTACCTCACCAGCTTTATACCAGGCCTGACACAGCCATTATCGCTGCTCTAACACATTGTGTCACATGACCTAGGCACCTTAATGCTTTGAGAAAGGAAACCGAGGTACAGAGATGTCTCACAGCCAGGCAACAGCTGAACTGGAGGCAGACCAGTGGGCTGGCTGTACCTGCACCTGGGTCCAGCATCAGAGTATCAGAGAGAAACATCCAGGGGCTGGGCTGTTAGCATCACGCAAAGAAAACCATGTAGAAGGAAGCAGAGGTCGCACCCAGAAGCAGCAGAGACTAACGGCATTTGCTAATGTCACTATCACAGACAACAAGCTGCCTTGGCAACCCTAGCAGACTCCCCTGCTGGGAGTTCTAGGTCCCCCGGTGAGATGAACAGGAGGAGCTTAAAGGCCATATTGATGTGGGAGAATTGTCTGTATTCTGTCAATCATATTTTAATAAAACACTGATTGGCCAGGCAGGCAGTATAGGCGGGAAAGCCAGACAGGAAGTAAAGGTGGAGCAAAGAGAAAGGGAGTATTCTGGGAAGCAGGAAGCTCCCTCCGCCACTCCTGCGCAGACCACCGAAGAGACAGGATGTAACCTGCCCAGCTGAGAAAGGTACTGAGCTGTGCGGCTAATGTAGATAAGGATAATGGGGTAACAAAAGTTATAAGAGCTACTAAGTAGCCTGACCTAATGAGCCAATCAGCTTTATAATCTTATGGAGTCCTGTGTGTGATTTTCTTTGGGACTTGCCGGCTGTGAGGTACCGAGTGAGACAGATACCCCAACAAGCCGGCCCCTCATGTTACACCATATGGGGCCTGGGTTGTGAGGGCTCAGTTCTACAGGACACCAAGCCTCCTGTTTGCAGGGGACACAGGGGTTTCCTGGATGTGAGGCTGCTAATTTTTCAGGGAAGAGCCTGAAAAACCAGAGGGTGGTCTTGCTGCTAAGCCACACATAGTGGCATATGGTCCCAAATTGGTCAGTTTGGGGTCAGAGGAAAGAGATGCTCTCTGGTAGGACACTCTGCCTGATATTCCAGGACAGGAACACACGGGACCATAGGCTGTGACCCCCAGGCCCTGGGGTGTATTGGTGGTCAGAAGATGAGTTCTGAAAGGCCAAGGTCCTAAGGGAAGTCATGTGGTAGCTACTGCTGTCTGTTTTACCTCTGTGGTGGCATGTGTCACACATGTCTCTGCCCTTAGGGAGAGTCATTCAGTCCAGCTACAGAGCAAGGGTGATTGCACAGGGCAGAGCTGTGCCAATGAGGTAGTTTTTGGCACCTCACAGAGCCCTCAGATCTTTTTTAAAAACACTTGTCTCTGGGACAGAAAGGTGAACTTCTTGCAGAAACCATGCTAGGTGCAGGGTGAGGACCTGGTGTGGACAGACTGCAGCTAGCAGCGGGGACCCCGGGGAATGCTGGGGCATGCGACAACAGGTCTGTCTGTCCTTCCATAGCTTTTTCTGCTAAATGTTTACAGGCTGAGTGGCTCCTGCCATAGATACAGATGGCCTGGGGCTGATCTTCTGAGGTCAGAAGGTAGAGCTGGGGTTGGCACGTGTGGCTGACCCACTGTAGAAGCTTCCTCCTGAGGGGGCAGCTGGAGGTGGTAGTTGGTATCAGGAAGTTCATCAAGTCTGGTGACATCCTCAGGATGGGTCTTCGAGCAGACTCACCTGGCTACTGGGTATATCCAGCTTACTGAGCATGAGAAGCAATGCCATCTCTGACAGCAAGGATTTCTCAGTGTCCGGATCTGTCTAGAAACACTGGAAATGGGAGGTAGGTACAGTTGGGGAACCTGGGAAACAATTTGAAAATGTGACTTTATCACTGGTATGGACTCGTAGATCCAGGCACTTGCAGCAGGGGAGACTGATGGGCTCGGAATCCTGGGTACGTGACTCACAAGGAAGCCTCGCACTATCAAGTCTCATTTTTAAAGCCTGTCAGGAGGCCACCAGGCGCAGCAATGAGAAGCCAAATGACTTCCAGTTAGTTTAACTTTCCTTTTCTCCTTATCGCTCAAAATCAAACATCCAAAAAGACACCCCAATTGGCCCGAGGCCTGAACACGATGTATTATAAGAAACCTCTCTCATAGGTATCAGGAGGCCCAGACGAGGTTCTGCCAGGAAGCCAGGAGGAAGCCGAGCGCTGGAAACACACGGAGATTCTGGGGCCTTGCACACAGAGCTGGTGGGAAGATGACATGGGGCCCTGCCATAGAAAATACTCTGTGTGCCACATGCAAAGATATGGTGTGTAGCTCAGCGGTCGAGTGCTCATATAGCACACGCAAAGGTGTGAGTCTTATCCAACACAGAAAAGGTTGTCACGTGACTCAGCAGTTCTAAGTATGTCTCTGAAAGAAAGGAAAACTCATGCCTACGCACATGTGCGAAGCGGAATGTCTGAGACAGCTGTACAGAGGAGACGGCCAGAATGGCCAAGTGACTGCACTGTTACGTGTTATACAGGCGCGAGGGCTGGGGAGGCGACTAGGGTGGTGACCACACAGGCATGGGAGCCTGGCGCGAGGGCTGGGGAGGCGACTAGGTTGGTGACCATACAGGCATGGGAGCCTGAATTCGATCTGCAGGACTCTTGTGAGCGGCCAGGCATGGCAGCCAGGCTATGAGCTTAGCATCCTGGAGGCAGAGGCAGGAGGATTCCTGGACAGGCCTGCTGAGCTGACTTGGTGAGTTCCAAGCAAGCGAGGGACCTTATAGACAGAAACAAGGAATGACATCCATGATCAACTGTCACCTAGGCATGTGCACACATGTGAATGTGTGCCTGAACACACCATTACAGCTGTACATTCCTCATACATACAAAGACAGGCTCAAAAGAGAGAGAGAGAGAGAGAGAGAGAGAGAGAGAGAGAGAGAGAAAGAAGAGGAAGGAAGGAGGCAGTTACACCATGACGGACTTTGGAAACATGAAAGCAATCTGCTGTTGTTTGTGGGCCTATTTGTGTAAAATGTCTAGTGAGGCAAATCCACAAGCAGATAGACAAGAGAACCGGGGTACCTCCTGACAGGTCGTGACAACTAGCCTCTGCATGGCCACTCTGGAAACACTGAACAAATCACACATTCTAACTGGGTGAACCGTCATCTGGAACATGAATTAGGCCTAATGGACCTGATCTAAAAGCGGTTATTATACCACATGAGGACGTATGTCAGGATCCATGTCTTCCTTATGTTTCTCCAAGTGCCCCTAGTGCTCCAAATGTTGTAGGTGGCTGCACCATGGCTTCTCAAAGGCAACTGCCATCCTCAAAACAAAGGGGTAGATCATGAAGCTGTGTCCCAGTGAGGCTAATGGTGCAGCGGACCATCCCTGCAGAACAACTCTCCACTCCTCTCCTCTCCTCTCCTCTCCTCTCCTCTCCTCTTCTCCCCCTCCCTCCCCCCTCCCTCCCTTCTCCCCCCTCTCTCCTCCCCCCTCTCTCCTCCCCCCTCTCTCCTTCTCTCCCTCTCTCCCTCTCCCACCTCTCTCTCACTCTCTCTTTCTTAAGGCAGAGTTTCTCTATATAACCCTATCTTGGAACTCACTCTTTAGACCAGGATGAACTTTAACTCACAGAGATCCACCTGCTTCTGCCTCCTGAGTACTGGGATTAAAAGTGTGCACCGCCACGGCCCAGCTTCCCTGGTGTTCTAACAAGTGAACTGTCTATCATTCTAGAGATAACTGTTTGTGGGGACACTGAACCACCTGTTTCTGAGGGCCCCAGGGTGACCTTTGATGCTGATGATTGTGGTTGCCTGAAGACCCAGGTACCACAGATCCACTGGAGGGAATTGGCCTCTCCTTCAGGAAGGATGCTGTGCCACAGGCACTTCCACAGTGAGTTCTGGTACCGGTCCTGCATTGCTGACTTTCACATTTCCAACCTATACCCAGCAGTACGTGACCATGCGGGGGGTGAGTGAATGTCTCCGGTTGCTAGGCATCTTCCACCACAGGCAGATGAGTGGTGGTGTTAAGGGCAATGAGTGAGTCAATCGAGGATGTGGTGGTTTGACTCCGTATGGCTCCTAAGACACCTGTGTGTGAATACTTGGCCCACAGAGTGTGGCGCTAACAAAAGGTGTGGCCCTGTTGGAAGAAGTGAGTCACTTGGGGGCAGGCGTTGAAGTCTCATATACTCAAGCTGTGCCCAGTGTGATAAACAGTCTCTCCCTGCTGCCTGTGGATCAAGGTGTAGAACTCTTAGCTCCTTCTCTGACACCATGTCTGTCTGCATGCAGCTATGCTTTCTACCTTGATGATCATGGACTAAACCTCTGAACTGCAAGCTACCCCTATTTAATGTTTTTCTTTATAAGAGGTGCCATGGTCACATTTTGTCTTCCAGGATGCTCTCTGCTCCCACTGAGCCAGAGGTGCAGGTTCCCGCAGGTGAGGCTGTGTACACAGGCAAGTCACATGTCTAAACTGGGTGGCCAGCAAGCAGTCATCACCCGCTGCTGGTCCTGGTCCTGCCTTTTCTTCCTCCTTCCTCATCTCATATGACACTTCCTCTTCCGTCTGTGTGCTGGTTGACATCTGAAGGGTTACCCTTCCCACTGCTCCGACCATCTGACCACATAGGACCTCACTGGCTGGCTACCTCCACTCACACATACTTCAGCTAGAGTCTGATTGCTGAGAGAGACGCTAACGAGAAAGTTCCTGAGTGGGAACCCAGAACAAAACAACACAGGCAAAACCCGTGGCCATGGGGTTGTGTAGCTGCCTGGCTGCCTCTGCCTGGGCCTTAGATACTGAAGAGCAGAGGTAACTATAGGTCAGGGCTGGGGACATTTGAGTGAGGTATCCTCAGATGTTTGTTTGCCTGGGTTCTGACTGTGTCAGGGGCTCTACTCTCGGGTCTTGCAGTTCCTATATCTTCTGCCAGTGTCTTGTTCTTTGTCTTTGGGGGTTTAGAGACCTCTTCCTTAAATGCCCTTAGTGAGCTTCGTTAGAAATGCTCTCTCAAGGGACCAAAGTGTTTGCTGTCACTGGGACCACAGATACCCTGACCTGTACCCCTCCATCACCTCACCTGGTTATACCTAATCTGGAGTGTTTCTTTATAGAGGCATCAACTGGTGAGAACTGCAGAGGTGGACAGGACATGTCCTGTTTTGGCTAGCACTTCTGGCCAAGAACCCAGGCTTGGGCCTGGCAGAGAGATAGGGAAGACAGTCCATGAAGGATTAGGATCTATTTGGGTGGCCACCTCTCCAAGCGTTCCTCTGGCTTTGGAGCTAAGGCTGGGAAAGACATATCAAGGGCATTGTTAACATAACCAGGATGACTTCTACTGACTACAAGTGGAACTTTTTGATTAATACTAATCATATTAATGTTCTTACTTGTATATGTGGAGAAATACTTGAGAGTACAGGTGGCTTTTCTTCTAATTTATTCTAAATAGACAGAAATGAAAATGGGTGTTCTCGGCCACTTCCTACCATCCACAGAAAAGCCCAGAGCCCTGTGGACATCTGAGGGGAGGGAAGGGACAGCAAGATTTGTTGGGTGCCACTGGGTCAGCTAGTGCTAAGCCTCATCCCCACCACCATCTGTGCACACAGACTGATACGGCTGAGAGTTAGAAGCTCTGTGGGACACCCTTCACCCCAAGTGTGGGTCCTGGCCGGTGGCTCTGCATACTGAGATGGCATAAAAGGCTTCTTTGTTTCCTAAGATGGGCAGGCCTCCATCCTGGACCACAGGCTCCGTTTCAGTGACTGTGAGGATCTGTCAAGGGAATGTTTCCACAGGAAATCACCTCTCTCCACCCTACCATGCCTCAAGCAGCATTGTACATGCGGCCACGGCCACATGGGTGGGAGTCCCAGGCACAGTTCCTGCATGTCCCAGGTGTCCATTCAAAACACAGAATGGAGAAACTCAGCAAGGGACATGTCACATCACAAGTGGCTACCATCCCTGATGGACACTGTCAAGTATTAGCAAAAATATGGAGAGACTGTAGCCCTTACTGTGGGAGAGTCAAATGGTCAGCCACCATGGAACATGGCTTGAAAATCCCCTGTGAAAAGGTAACCCCAGAGCTGGCACAAGAGCCACTGCCAAGGATGTACCCGGCAGGGATGAAGACACCTGGCCACCTAACAGCTTTTACAAGGCGGACAGAACAATACAGGTCACATTTGCCAGTAACAACAGCTTGGATATCCATCGATGGAGGAATGGAAAATGGCTACAGAAAGCTATTTGACCCTCACAAGACACTTAGCGGATACGGTGGCTGAACTGTGAAGTCTTATGACAAGCAGAGAAGGTTTAGTTATGAGTCTGTCACAGGAGGGCTTCTCCTATATGAAACATTTGCCCTGGCCAATCCGGAGACAGAATAATAAACTGGACACTTCCAGGGACAGAAGGAGGTGGGGAGCGTGACTGCTCTTGGGTGTGGGGGGTCCCTTGTGGGGAGCCAGTGAGTGTCTGACTTTAGATAATGTTGATATTTGAGCACTATGACTCAAAGCCACCACTTCACTGGGGTCTTTTTCACAGCATGCGAATTGTGTCTCAATAAAACCAGTTCACATACATGTTTATACATGTTTCTGTTTATACCTATACTCTAATGTTTTAGAACAGTCTCTTATTGGCTTGGGACTTGTCAATAGTCTGGGTTGGCTAGCCAATGAGCTTCAGGGATCATCCTGGCCCTGTGACTATTGGGACTATGGCATGTTCCAGAACAGCACCTGACTTTTATATGTCGGTTCTGCAGGCTCAAACTCGGGTCCCTATATTGATGCAGCAAACACTTACATCTGAGCTATGACTGAAGTCCCAATCTGCAGACTTAGGTAAGAATTAATCTACTCATTTATTTTTATCTAGGACTCCCAAGTAATGCCCAACGTGCCTGGTATGTGCTGGTTAGACCCAGTGCCTTTAAGCAGCTGCACACATGACCAGGGCTACGTATTGAATAATTGATGGCAACATTGCAACCAAAAGCTTGCAGGAACCTAACCCACCTTTCTCCTAGAACCAGTGGTTCAAGACTGTAGCCAAAACGGGAAGAGATGGGATAGACAGAGATGGGGCTAGAACCATCCAGAGTTGCCAGAGCCGTCTGTTGCCTCTGTGTCCAGGTGCACAGCTGGTGCATTCCCTCCAGAGCCTTAAAGGGAGGCAAGTCTCAGGCATTTCCAAGGACCCCTGGCCTGGCATGACTGGTCAAGTGCAGAGCATGTGGGGGAACAGATGTTGGTCACTGAGGCCAACTTATCGCAATGGCTTTGCTTGGGAATAACCAGCAACCTCAGGCAAAGCACAGAGCCCCTATCTGTGGCAATCTTCCTGTGTGGCTTTTTGGTTACAAGCATCATCTTCTCTCTAGTAGGATTTTATTTATGCATTTAATTAGTGTGTGTGTGTGTGTGTGTGTGTGTGTGTGTGCGCGCGCGCGCGTGCATGTACACCTACCTGTGTGTGTATGCATGCCTGCGTGTTTGCATGTTTACCTGTGTCTGGGGGTCTGAGGACAGCTTGTAGGAGTTTGTTTCTCTCCTTTTACCATGGGTCCTGGAGTTAGAATTAAAACCACAGGCCTAGTGTCAGGCTCCTTTACCCACTGAGCGGCCATACTGTGTTTTTTTAAGCCCTGGACATGATCTGTGGTTGAATCTTAGAGAAGTCTTTGGTGCCATGATCTGGATTCTGTCAGAGGATTTGCCAGAGTTTGCCTAGGGCTAAATATCCAAAGACACTCAGGGATTGACAAGGAAGGAGCCATTGGAATGTCAAATCCAAGTGACCCTCCCTCTCCAAAGCACATGTCCCAGTCACTGGGACAGTCAGTCATTCTTTATTTGTTCATTTATCTGGCAAAGTTTGGTTGACCCCGAGACAATAACCTTGCCCTTGACAAGCCTTCTCAGCTAAACGAAGTTAGACTCGAGAATGTCATTGCAATTCTTGGTGATAAGTTCCCAAAGCAAACAGACAGCCTTGTAACTAGAGCACCTCGTGTTCCCAGGGACAAAGTCCCACCCTGCACATTGTTGAGGGCATGAGGGAGATCCAGGCCAGAGAGGGAGGTTGTGGGGAAGGCTTCCATCTGTAGGGGCCTGTCTCTGATCCAACAGGCAGAGTGATTTATTCCACACGTGTCAGCAGGATTGGGTGCAAGGTAGAAAAGACACATGGGGCCGGGGCTGGAGACAAGACTCAGAAATTAAAAACGCTTTCCTTTTTACTTTTGCTACTCTTCCAAAGGTTCCAAGTTCAATTCCAAGTACCCATGAGGGACAGCTTCCAAGCACCTGTCCCAAGAGGTCTGACACCCTCTTCTGGTCTCTAAGGGTACTGCATACATGTTGCACACACTCTGACACAAACACACATAAACATAAATAACAAAAACATAAATCTTAAAAAGAAGATACACTGTAGCAGAAAAGGAAACTGGAGGAGGTGTGATCATGCACAGATTTGGGTAGACTCAGACACGGGGTAATAAACGCTCACTACAGACAACAGACTATGGTCACCAGAGGGTAGTATGGGGAGGGCAGAGTGCCCTGCGGACCAGCATCTCATCTAAAGGGCCCACCAGTCAGTGCTGCCTGTTCCAAATGATTCCTTTTAAATGCAACTTAGCTGAAATTAGCAAAAAGGAAATCTCAGGTACCTCTGCAGTACTGGCACTGCATTCCCAGAGCTCAGCAGCCATGAGCTTTCAGTGGCTTCTGATGGATGATTTCACCACCGACCCTTGTCCCAGACTGAACATGAGCCTCATGAGTAGGTTAGGGAAGGAGAGCAGGGGTGTGGTTTGGATTCAGGGAGTCTCATATAACTTAGTGAGAGCCGCCTGGGCTGCTGCCTCGTGGCATTGTCAAAGGCGCCAATCAATGGGTGAATCCACTAATGAGTTCCTATCTGTAGGCTGTTAGGAGCTGGGGCTTTTTTGAGGAAGAAGTCCGCTGAGCTATGCCTTTGGCAGGAAGATCTCATCCTCATTTCTTCCTGTGTTCCTCCGCTTCCTGGACACTACAAAGTGAACAGCTTTGTTATGTAGTTCCTCTCTGACGCTCTGCCCCATCAGCCGCCCAAAAGCAGGGAAGAGGCCAGCTGGGCATGGGTCTGAGCCCTTTGCAACTGTGAGCCAAATAAATACTCCCTCTTTTAAGTTGATTGTGTCGAGTATTTTGTAACAGCAACATAAAGCCTGATTCAAATATACTGTTTTAAGGTATAGATGATTTTCACTTCATCTGCCCCTAAGCCCCAGGGGTGTGGCTGTTAGGTTCTTCTCTGAGGCAGGGCCCGTGCCGGTACACCCCTCCCCGCCTCCTTCAACCTCTGCAGACTTCTCAATGGGCCAGAGTAATATGCAGGTTATTGGCAGATGTGCATCTGGCTGGATCCCCTCTGGAGTGCTAGGTTCTGAATTCCAGTTGTCTCTATCCTCTGGCCTCTGGGCAGAGTTACATGATTCTCTGTTCCTCCCACTTGGCTGCCCTTCTAAACAGCAGCCAGGTTCAACCAGATGCCAAAAGCTTGTTTCCCATCTCTGCCTCCTTCCGAGACCCCTACTGCCTCCTTCCGCCTCTCCTGCCTCTCTTTTAGCTCTCCAAACCCTCTCACCACATGCCGATGGGGCCTTCTGGCCCTTGGTGAGAGACAGAAATAACAAGGGGAGAGCTGAAGACCATCCCTGCAGACCCCACTCTAGTCCAGGAGGGCCAAGGACAGTAGCTTTGTGAGATGGATGAGAACTGTGTAGAGCAGGCCGTGCACAAGACGCCACAGTGACGGCTGGACACGGAAGCCAGTCCAAAGTCAATGCCCACCCAACCACTGACCCTGGCACATTCACAGTGGGGAAAAATCTGGAAGTGAGGTGTGGAGTAATTTTTATGGCTGGGCAAATACCATGGAGTGTAGCATAATTGGAATAGTTCTAGCAACTTCTTGGGTGAGGTTCTAGATGAGACAGACAGACAGATGCAGTGGTATGAGACACGGGACATACGAGGCTGCTGCTGGGTAGTGCGGCAGCATCGACTGCTTCACGACACTCCGCAGGCAGGACTACACTCTAAAGTGACGACAAATGGCACAGCATGGCGTCTACACAAGTCAGAGCCACGGCCGTGCAGGATCATCGCCCGAAGAAGGGCAGAGGGGCAGGACTGTCCACATGTGCACGTACGGCATTGCAAAGGCTTTGATGTCACGGAACAACAGGGACTTTCAGCTCTGTGACAAGTCGACAAGAGCGCCACCCACAGGTGGGATGTAGACTACAGACCTGTGTACCACACAGCTGTACTGGAGTCGTTACAACAGTGATACCCCAAATGTCTCTCCTTGAAAGCAGACTGGCTCCCTCCCAGCTCAGCCTGTTTCTCTCACTCCTCCTCCTCCCTTGCAGCTGCTCACTGGCCCACACACGATGCTCAGGCTGCCTGGCAGTTGCTTAGGTCCCTGCCTCTGTCACCACGAGCAACCTCCCACTTCCCAGTCGATCGCGGGTGCTGAATGTTCCTGTGACCCTGGGGGGCAGGCTGTGCTACTAGACGCTTACCCCATTGCCTTCTGGTTCCCCTTCTCTCACCACACACATCAACAAAGGTATACTGAGTCACTGTGGATGGCCCCTCTGCCTGCTCACATCTGCAGTGGACTCTATGCAGGCGGTGGCTGGAACCTTCCTGCACCCTTTGCAAGGAGATCAATGTTCTACATTAAACGGAAGCGGGACCTCTGTTGGGTCGCCATTCGGACACACCTGTGCTTCCCAGGTCACTGTACCACACCAGACAACAAGGCCAACTGTGCCGACTTCCCGGGTCCCCACGGCCTCCAGACTCCCAATACATCCTTTTTGCACGGGAAATGGGGATCCCGTCCCTGCAGATGGAAAACTGGTCACATCCACGAGCATCAGCTGGAACCACTCAACCAGGGTGGAAGCTGTTTCCCATGGGTTCTCTGCCATGGATGGAAGCCAAGTGAGGACTCTGGACTTGGATCTGGTGACTGCTCAAACGGTGGCTGCACACAGCTCCCTCTGCCTTTCAGGGAATCCCAGGTTGAGGACTGAGGCAGCTGCATCACTATATTCCACATGCAACCATCTCTATGATCTTCTGCAGACATGAGGTGTCATGCCTCGGTTACCACCTTCCTCTGCAGGCAGAGCTCTGCCCGCTCTCCCCACAGGAGAAACAGGAACTCTATCCTTTGGCATAATTTATTCTCCTGTAGAGGGAGAATTTTGAGGAGAGACGAGCCCGGTACCCAGAAGCTCCATTCATGGAGCTGCCCCCAGACTAAACAAAGCTGGAGGTGGGCAAGCTGTGGCGAACCAGCCTCAGAAACTGGCAGTGGCATCTGCCATGGCCTGGGAGAGAGAGCAGACACAGCACAGGTTCCACACCATAGATTGAGCACCGGCGTCAGCCCAGGGGTGATCGTAAAGGGCTCTTTGTTCATCAGGCGCATGGTCCCGGCTACTTGATGGGTGTGGGTACTGCACACCTGCATCGGGAATGCCGCCATGCCATCACGGAGTGCTGACGTTCACAGGGGTCAGCAGGGATCTAGGAATAACACTACCTCCAGGGCTGGTATAGCCTCTTCCTACTCTTGGACACTGCTGTGCCTGATTTCAGATTAGTCACAGCATCGTTAGGAGAGAGAAAACTGAGGTCAGGAGGGGTAAGCCTCCAAGCCAGCTTGTAACGGCGTGTCTCTCTGAGGCACAGGTTCTTGTTCTGCAAACCAAGAAGGTTAGGCCTTCCACGTCAGCAGCATCTGGGCTCTCCCAGATGCAGGGATGGAGTGAACTACCCTAGAATTTTATGGTCCTTTGGCTGCATCCTGGTGGGATGAGGTCCTGGTGACAGGGACAGATAAGGTCTTCATAACCTGCCTCATTCTCTCCTGGGTCTGCCATTCTGAAAGCAGGTGGGAGTGGTACTCGTGTGTGCGCATCTGTATGCGTGTGTGTGTGTGTGTGTCCGCATGTGTGTGTGTGTGTGTGTGTGTGACTAATGCTTTCTTTCAAAAAAGGGAGTCAAAACAAAACAATTCCAAGAACAATCACGTGGATTTTCCAGTGCAAGGAGCCCACTGGCCACACCGGGCATTTCTCAGCCCTGATTCTTATTCTGTCCTGGGAATTCCTGGAGAAGAACCACGGTTGCTCCTTCTAACTCAACAGGACCTGTGAGGTGAGTCCTGGGACAGGAATGGCTGTTCAAGCTCCCCTAGTCTCCTTGGCCTTGCCTATTACAGGCTGGCCCCGGGGACTCTGTACCTGGAGGTAGAGGAAAAGGATCTCACAAGCCAAAGAGTCAGTGTAGAGGGTTGGGACCTCACCTAGTTATTTGGGTACCTTTTCCACCTAGGTTGCAGAGCCAAGCTTAAAGGGACATCACGGGTCAGGATAGGGTGTCTCTGTCTGTGCTTGGAAACACCAGTGAATCGGAAGAAGAGGGGCTCACCTGCCCTCTCCACCCAGAAGGCCTGCATAGGACCTCTGGAAAAGCCTAGGGATTATAGTGCCTTGCCCAGCCTGGGCAGGGACCCCAGCCATTCCTAGCCAGCATCTCTGTCCCACAACAAGCTCTCCTCACCTCCACCTGTTCATTTTGACACCAGTCCCAGGTGAGGTGCCATCATCACTAGACTCTGAATCTCCGTGGACATTCGGTGGAGCACCGGACCCTGAGAGAAGCGGGGGATGCCTTGCGGTGACAGGGTGTGACGATGCCACGGGGTGACAGGGTGTGATTTGTGGAGAAGACAAAACCCTGGCAGCAGCTGCCATTCATCCCCACGCACACTCTTTAAGCACCTACGTGGAGCCATGCTGACGCTCGGGGCAGTGCCCTTCAGGTGCTGCTCCACCTGTGGGAGTTGGTCTCGTCACATCTACAAGGACCAACATTAGCCAAGAGATGCAGAGAGACCACTAGAGATGGAGCACCGCCGCCACTGATGCCCGACCTCCCAGCCACCGCTGAGCATCCCGCACAACAACTATGCAGGATCCAGTCATAAATCCCGTTCAACAAGCTCTTAACAATGAAATACCCAACTATTAGCCGAGACAACCACTTACTCAAAACCAACACTATTCACGAGTTTAGCTAAAACACATTCTCCCATGATCATCAGTTCCTGGCCTGGGCACTTCAATCTCTCTATTTATGAAACAATAATGGAATTCTATTTAACAGCGCAGCGCGGAGTTCACTGCCTCTGATAAGTTTGCATCGTAACTTTGCCCCCGGCGATCTGCTCCTTCCTATTACTGCCTTGTCCCGGTTCACAGATGGATGAATCATGGCCTGGAGAGCAATACAACCTTTACCCACACACGATTATCAAAGCCAGTGTCCGCAGCTGGTTTGAAGGCTTCATTCGGACCAGTGAAGGGCTTGGGATGCTGATGAGCTCGGGCTCAGACGCTGATGTAAACGCTGGCCCCATTATGGTAATTTCCTCCTGGGAATCTGAAGGTGTTGCACTGCTTCTCAGGTGAAGAGGGGACCTGCCTGGCTTTCCATGGGGGATGGCTCTCCCAGGGCTTCCTTTGTCCCAACATGAGACCCTGCCTGAGGGCAGCTTCTTCTTTGCCCAGGGGAGTGATTTTTCAATCCACAATGTCTTTGAAACATGGTCCCCTGTTAGATTCTAGAGTGGTTTGGGGTTGGTAGAGACCTTTTCCAACCGGCACAGACGACCACTCTTAAGAAACCCCGAGGGCTGGTGAGATAGATAGCTCAGTAGTTGAGAGCACTAACTGCTCTTCACGGGAACACAAGTTTGGTTCCCAGCTCTCGCACTGAACAGTTTACAACCCCTGCTCAAGGGGATCTGATGCCCTCTTCTGGAACATGCACACACATCACACACACACACACACACATACACAAAGACACACACACACACACAGACACACACACATGGACACACACACAGACACATACACACACACATACACACACATCACACACACACAACACACACACACACACACACACACACACACACAATATGCATGTATAGCCCTGGAATGAGCTCAGACATGCAGCCTATGTACCAATCTAAGTTTGGGCTGTGGAAAATAACATCTGCCTAGGAAAATTTAACCAAGGTGGGCAGAAGACCTCA